ATATTCTATGCAGTGGTTTTATATTCTGCAGCTGTAAGTACCTTATTAATTCCAGTTAATACTTTGAATCCAAAACAACTCTTGAATTTCCACCAAAATGTTTTCTCAGAATGAAAATATTAATTGAAACTAGGCAAGAAGAAAAATTGGAATCCTATATGTACTCAATACAGACCAATTAAATTTTTGATGATCTGTGTTACTTTTGCAAAAAATGGGATCCTGTTAATATTAGGTTAACTTAGAATTAAAAAGTACCAAGGATAAAGAGAGTAAGGTAATAGGTAAGATAAATCACATTTGCCCATCATGTTTTTGGACAGGTAATGGCAAAGCTGTATTGAGAACTAATTGCCTTCATGTGATAGAAGTAAAATGGACACAGTACTGAAAATCAGCTAGGAAATAGAAATTAACCCATATTCAACTTGTAAATTTCATTGATAAGTAATGGATAAATAACATACAAGGGTGTTGACAGCTTAAAAAATACTTCAGAAGAGTCGAGTGGTTTAATTTCACTATGCCATTTTAGTTAAAGGGTTCATAATCAGGATAGATGATTATAATCAGGATATATGAAGGTTGCAAGGTAATTTTTAAAAATTGTGTTGGCCCATGCATTCTATCAAAGTAATGTAGAAGGAACTGATAAATTTTCTGTTTGGATTCCATCTTCTATTACACCTTTATTTAATAGGTACTGGGAGAAATGTAATTGGTAGGTTTTTGCCTATAGTAAAAAATTTAAGAACTTTAGTTTTGTGAGGTTGGGCAAGTTGTTTGGGACTTAAACTTTTATGCCATGCTATCTGTTGGTAGTTTGATGATACTAGTTGACCCCCTTAGTATGTTGATTTCATAAATACGTAGAATTAATCATTACATTGGAAATAGCAAAACATATTTGATAGAGTAAATGTGCCTTAAACAGGAGGCTAGTGGTGGGTCTGATGTCTAACTTTGAAGTGATTTTAAGATACTTGGCAAAGTAATCTGATTGTTAAAGTTGTGATTTTTTTTAAATGATAGTAGTACTGTGTATACCATTTGTGGTTTGCTGTCTATAATGAAGGATTGTTGAATTTTACTAGTGTTACTGAAAATAAAGTAACTTCTTCCAATCAAAATTCTCTGCCCTAAATTCTGTCCAGTTAAAAACTTTATCTACCTCTTTAGTGGGTGTGGGTAGGGATTAGAAAAGTAAAATGGAGATAATACCCACCTTCATTGAGTGTAATGGTTAAATGTAAAAATGAACTTAAACGAGCTAAACCTAGTGTCTGGTCCATGATCTCTAAAAATAGTATTTTTGGTAATTAATGTTACTGCTTTAAAAATATCCTGAAGCAAATCTGAAGTTTTATTAGGTGATAATTATGCCAGTGTCTCTCCACAAGTGATTAAAGTTTTTATGACATTAATTTTTTTCCAAGTGTAATTGGCTAAGTATCCTTCAAATAGGGATGAGAATCGTATATGTTGGGGGCTTAAAAGCAAAAGTATGGGTATAGGAAATACTATAAAATACATTTGAGCAGCCATCCTTTCCCTTAAAAGCATAGGCTTGAGAAAGCAAAAATTTTTTTAAATATACTAAATGCAGTGTTGAGGAATTAAGGTTTCTAATAAAATGTTTGTTCAGCCCTGGCCAGATAGCTCAGTTGGTTAGAGCATCATCCCAATGTTCTAAGGCTTCAGGTTCAAACTTTGCCTTGGACGAGATAAACTAGTGAATGCATGGATGAAGGGAACAAACCTCTAAAATAAAAAAAATAAAAGGCCTAATGATTACCCAATCAGGACACAAAGCTCTCACATTTCAAATCCAGATCAAGAAATGAAAACTTGATTTTATTTTTTAGTTAATAGGTAAGTTAACATTTGTTTTACACAGACCTCAAATTGTGGATCTTTTCACAGTATGCAGAAAAGTCAGCAGTAATCTTTGGTGGTGGATGGTCTTGCTTTCAATTTGTAAATATTTAAAGTGCAATAAAGTAAAGCACAATAAAACTGAGGTGTGCCAGTATTTAAAAGGCTTAGTTTCTAATACATAAAGCACACAGTATGTTCAAAGTAAAATTTTTTTGTTTTCCACAGTTAAAGTCATCACTATTATAAGAGAAGTTTTTAAAAAAAAATTTTCCATTGATTTCAGAGAGAGAAACATTGATAACAGTTATCATTGATTGGCTGCCTGCTGCACTCCCCCTACTCGAGATCAAGCCGGGAACCTGGGCATGTGCCCTTGACCCTGCAGTCTACAGAGCCAAATGGGCTATGGCCGGGAACTTCTTGATCACAGAAGGAAGCTCAGCAGAATTTTCACATTTATGTCATTTTCAATCAGTTTCCCAGTCATCAGACAAGTTAATTTGACTTGAGTTTCTTTCACTTGAAATCAAAAGGCACCCTAATGTAAGGCTAAAGAAATGAGAAAATGCCCATTAATAGTGTATAGATACAGTGTAGTAACTCAGTACTACAAGCCTGACTGCTTTGAGTTCCTGGAGGTTATTCTAGAATGGTAGCAAGCCCAGGCTATCTGGCTTTAGCATGTGGACCTCTCCTCTGTATTGCCTCTAATGATTAAGTCTGAATAATTTACATAGTGCTTATTCTAAACATGCTTAACCCTCAAGTGAATCTACATTTCTCTACTTTAAAACAAAACCAAGCTGAGCCGAGGCTGGTTTGGCTCAGTGGATAGAGCATCAGCCTAGAGACTGGAAGGTCCCAGGTTCAATTCCAGTCAAGGACATATACCTTGGTTGCGGGCACATCCTCAGTAGGGGATGTGCAAGAGGCAACTGGTCGATGATTTTCTCATCAATGTTTCTATCCATCCCTCTTCCTCTCTGTAAAAAATAAAATATGTTTAAAAAAAAAATGAAACTGGTTTGACTCAGTGGTAGAGCATCGGTCCGTGGACTGAAAGGTCCTAGGTTCGATTCCGGTCAAGGGCATGTACATTGGTTGCGGGCACATCCCAGTAGGGGATGTGCCAAGAGGCAGCTGGTCGATGTTTCTCATTGACGTTTCTAACTCATCTCCTTTCCTCTCTAAAAAATCAATAAAATATATTTTAAAACAAATACCAAGATATTAGGTGAAGAGATAGTGGATCAATGCTGTGGTTTATTCGGCAGCAGAATGATTTTGTTTTGAGGGGGTCTTGATTTTTCACATTTAATCTCAATATGTGAGAGAAAACTAATTTTTTTCGTACCTAGATCTTACTCTAGTGTTTGCTGTCTCTTGGCAACGCAGTTCTTAAAGGTGTTCAAGTCCTTGACTTCACTTTCATCCCACATCCATCTGTCAGAAAACCCATTTAGTTTCATCTTTGAAACAAAATCCTATGCCCTCACTATCACCCCAAGACACCATATTCCATTACTGCAAAGCCTCCCCATTGGTCTTGCTCCCACCTTTACCCTCTAGACCAGTGGTCGCCAATTGGCAGTCTGGTGGTCCATGAGGTCTGAAAGGTTGGCAACCGCTGCTCTAGACTGTTCTCAAAACAAGGCAGGGGAGACTTAAAAATCAGATGTTACTCTTGACACCTCCCCACTTTGCTGGGCAAAAACCAGTCTTTATGAAGGCTTAAGAGAGCTCTGCCACGTTCACCCTACCCATTCACCTCTTCCCCGCCACCCCCCCCCCCATCCCCATTTTCAGCCATATGGTCCTTGGGGTTTCTCAAACTGGGTTCAGAGCCTTTGGACTTGCTGTGTCCTGTCTGAAATACTCTCTTTACTCAACAGAATGGGTTTCCTATGCAGTCTCAATGAGGTTTTACCCTATTTCAAATTGCAATGCGTTTTTACTGGTCTTCCCAATTCTCTTGCAGTGTAGTACATTTGCTACCTTTCCCTAGTAGTTCTACCCTGTTTCCCCGAAAATAAGACAGTGTCTTATATTAATTTTTTTCTCCCAAAGTTGCACTAGGTCATATTTTCGGGGAAACACGGTAGGAGGATGGGTTTCTGAACACAGTTTTCATATCAAGGTAGAATACTTTACTTGAGATACACCTGAGGTTGAAATGATAAAATAGCTTCTCAATACACTTACCCCCCTATATTTCTAGCACTAGAAGTTTATAAAAATGCCTATTTTCATCCTGGCTGGTTTGGCTCAGTGTCTTGAACTTGGGACTGGACTGTAGGTTCCCAGGTTTAATTCCGGTCGAGGGCACGTACCTTCATTGCAGGCTTCTGGTGCTAGGAATACAGAAAAGGGATGTTTCTTCCTCCCTCCCTCCTTCCCTCCCTCCCTCCCTCCCTCCCTCCCCCTCCCCCTCCCCCTCCCCCCCCCCTCTCTCAAAAAACCACCACACAAAACCAATAGAAATAAAACAAACCAATGGAAAAATATCAAGTGAGGATTTTTTTAAAAGCATATTTTCAATGAAAGCATTCTGAAAATGAAAAACACCTAAATGTGAGCATGTGTCAATGAAAATACCTTGAATAAATGCAAATGAATTAAATAACTTAACAATCGTATTCCTTTATTAGTACCAGCTTTTCAACTAGTTTTATTTTTGCCAGAGCTAAACAATTTAATATAAAAAAAAAATGCCATTTTTTTGGTTCATATGATATTTATTAAAAAAGTACATAGTGGTTAGTTTTACAATTTGCTTTTAGCCAGATGTCAAAACATATAAATCTATGAATGTAACAAATGAGATAAGAACAGTATAAATAAGTTTTTGTAGTATTTACAGGTATACAGAAACTAGCCCAAATGGTGTTCTAAGAAATTAAGTTTGCAGTTAAAGTGAGACTGATTTCCACATACTGAGAACAGTTTAATGCTTTTAAAGTTTTGTATTATTTTCTACACTAGTTTTGACTATGATTTTGCATAGAATTATAAAGTATATTTCTGCATTTCACATCACAGTAGGAGCTTTTAGTATATATAATAGTATAAAAACAAACAAACAAAAAACACTAGCTCAGAAAAAGGGTCAGATCTTTCGATTTCTAGGTTTTCTTGACATCTGGCCTCTTACTCTTGGGAACAAGGAATACATTGCCATCTCTCGTCTGCTGCAGGGAGTATTCACTAGGAGAGTAAGGTTTTCCGTCTTCGTCTCGGAGCATGCTGAAGACTTCTAGGTATAAGGTGCTGAGTTGTTTTTTCAGTAGGTGGAGGTTTCTGTCATTTTCTCCTTTTTCTTTGAGCAATTTTTCTTTTTCATCTTTTAAATGATCCAAATCTTGCTCCAGTTCCACTATATTTTCCAGTTTTCTTTTTCTGCAATTTTGAGCGGCCACTTTATTCTTACCCCTCCTACGTATATCTCGAATTAATGCAAGTTGAGCCTCATTGAATTGTTCCTTGGACATCATTTCGTTGAAATCATCAACAGGGAGGTTGATTATTTTTTCTACAGGGAATGGGATATGGAGAGCTTTTGCTCTTAGCTCATCTCTTGTGAGATGAGCCTCCAAGCGACTCGAATGTTTATCTTTTGTGAAGGGGGTTTTGCGATGACCAGGACTTACCGGCAATTCTTTCTTTTGGGTGTTTTCACACTGGGCATCACTTACTGGGGCACTGTGCCCCCGAGATGGTGACAGGGGCTGAATTGTCTCCCCAGGAGTCTGAACTGGCTGTGTTTTAGGACCTCTGTGTTTGACACTGCCAGGGGCACTGTCTGTCTCTTCCATTTCAGAATCACTAAAGCCAAGTGGTGTGTCTCCATAGCCAGAAGATTCCACTGAGTGTTCTGGTGATGCCATGCTGGGGCTTGTGTTGGGTGAAATACCAGAGTCAGAATCATTGAATTCTGCTGTGTTTTCAGGGTGGTTCTGATTGAAGGCTTTACAAAGTGATAGATCAGAAATATCAATGGGCCCATAAAGAAGTTCAGAGAGGGACTGGCTGAAAGTAGCCGAGGAGGACATGTTGTTGATACTGGGCTCTGCTACGAAAGCAGAATAAAATTCATCACCAAAATCCGTATTTATGGTGGCATTTGAATTTAATGAGTTCACTGTCAGTTGGCTGGGGTCTCCTGTGGTGAGGATGCTGCTGAAGGAATCCTCAAAAGCATCGAGAAAAGGTGGACTACAGTTACCTACTTCTTTTTCCAGTGTAGGGATCGATGAGTAGAAATGGTAACTGTTGTCAGTGTCTGCCTGTTTGGTTTCTGGACTGGGAACCGTGCTAGTCTCAACCAGCTTGTCATTTTGAATATTAAGACACTGCATGGAAAAGAGGTTTATATTCTGTAAATCAAGGTTAAATATTTTCACTATCTGATAATCTATATCTGAGTTAAAACTCCCCAAACCCTATTCTCTCCACGCTGTTTTCTTCTGTAATTCAGAGAGAAATACCCATTTCCAACAGATGTTTATGCCTAAGCATCTGTATTATTTTCAGAGTTTCTAAATCAGACCTCAGGCTTACAGCTTATCTATCCTCAAGACATCCAGCCCCTTTAACAAAAACTGCATTTGAGTGAGCATGGGCAGCTCTCATGACTAATTTAAAAGCACTCTCTAATCCTCCCTGTAAATAGGTGGCATATAAATAATAAATAACCAGAATGACTAATTTAAAGGGACTGAATATAAAATAGCATCTTTGGTATTTATTATTTTAGGTCTCAGTTACCTGTAATTCTGGAATGGATAGTAGCTCCTCCCATACTTGCTCAATGTCCTGCTGCATATTACCTAAATCACTGGTTAGCTGAAGGACAGCAGGTTCAGATGACTGAGTCTGACTAGGAGCAGTAAAGACTGGGCTCTCGATGTGGCTGGGAGCATCAGGAACAAGTGATTGAAACGTAGGTGAAGAAACCTAAAATCAACAAGGCATTTATCCTCATGAATCTGCTGTGAGCAGTGGGTGAGTGCCCTCTCAGACACTATCACACCTCGAGCTAGAACTGGCTACAGTATTGCATTCCACTTAGAACTACTTATGACCCCTATTTTTATACAAGGAACCATCTTTTTTTCTTACCCACCTGACTCCAGATGTACTTATTTACTGGTTTGTGTTATCCTATGCATTTGAAGGCGAACTTTTGAAAATGGGTATTCTTTAGGATTTAATTTGTATCTTTTCCCCTCTGCTTTTATTTAATGTATTTTCTTGGTTTTTTTGTTTGTTTGTTTTGTTTTTTTTACAGAGAGGAAGGGAAAGAGAGAGAAACATTGATCAGCTGCCTCCTGCACACCTCTTACTGGGGATGTGCCTGTAATCAAGGTACATGCCCTTGACCGGAATCGAACCTGGGACTCTTCAGTCTGTAGGCTGACGCTCTATCCACGGAGCCAAACCAGTTAGGACTTATTTTTTATTTGTATTTATCTTACATTGAACTTACTCTTGGGCCTAAGTTTTTTTTTTTTCTAAAGTTAATTCTGGGACATCTTTATTTTATTCTGTGCAACCTCCTTTCTGGTTTAGTAACAACCTGCTTTTTTTCAGTTGGGTCCTCTTTGTGTGGCAAGGAGAGCTTGTGTATGGGTAAATCCATTGCCCATGAGCCCCATAAATTCTATGACACAACTTAGGAGCTTTGTTCACTTGGATTTGCTCATTGACCAGAAAATCTACTTAAGTTCAGCATTCTTTGCATTTAAAAATATGTTTTTTTAAATTGATTTTTAGAGAGGAAGGGAGAGGGAGAGAAAAGGAAACATTAATGTGAGAGCTGAACATCAGTCAGCTGGTCCCTGCATGACCACCAATGGAGATAGAACCCGCAATCAGGGCATATATCCTGACCAGGAATTGAACCTGCAACGCTTTGGTGCACTGAAAGTCAACCAACTGAGCCACCCTGGCGAGGGCTCTGCATTTTTAAGCATGTGCAGCAGTACAGCATTCCTTCTGAACCACTAACCCTGTGTCCAGCCCCACTATTGCATCTGGGCACACCTACTAACTCCATCCATCATTGTAATGACAGGATAGCACACTGCTTCTAGAAACCGACAACCTTCAGATACTCGGTGGCTTTTTCAGATATACATACCCTTGATGGCCTGGGCAGTTTCCTGAGTGTTCTTAAACTGAACCCAGATATTTGAACCTCCTGAAATGCATGATTTTGCAGGGCTTTCTAGATCAAGTGAATAGTGAACCATTTTCAGAGGTTACCTCTGGCCACTTTTGGAGAGACAAAGCTGTATCTTTTTATTAGTAAATAATACTATATATAGTGCTTCAAACACAGTAGGTTTATAAAAATCGCTAAACAAGTTTTGGTATATTATTCGGTTTGCCCTACTCACCAAAATTTATTTTTTAGTACTTAGAACAAATGGGTTACTTAGTCCTATGGTTATGCTAATCCGTGCTTCTGGCTGTGCAGCAGTAAAGGTTTTGGGTTTTGTATTGTGTGGGGATCTGTAAAGATACATATAAACTAATGTTTCCTTGACAAATTTCATCCTAAAAAGTTTTTCATTTTTTAAAAAAATGGAGCGACATTAAAGGGACCTATATATATCAGATATAGCTGCGAATCAAATATTACATACCTCATTGTCCTCTACAAACGGGAATGTGTCTGCCAAAAGCTGCATGCAGTTATCGAAGTACAAATCATCTGGTTTGGGAATGTGGGGAACCTGGATAAAAGGGAAAGGCAAAAAGAGGGAAAAATTTGTTTAATGTTCTATTCCCCAGGTTAAAGGTTCATGATTGATGTTCTGAAAGTGTTTACATCTGTTCATATCAGATTCCTTAGTTCAGAAATCAGTTTAGTGTCATAGTTACGAGCCGAGAATCAAACCAAACTGACTGGGTCCAAATGGGCTTCCCTAATTTCTTGAATGCTCTAGGAAGGTTATTTAACTTCTTTGAGTTTTAATTGCTCATCTTTAGATAAAAGGGGGATAATGGCTCCTAATTCAGATAATCATTGTATTGATTAAATCAATCAGTATGTCAGGTGCTTTAGGACAGTCAGTGCCTGACACAGTTGGTGCCAAAGTAATCCCTACTACTGGTCCCACTGCTGCCGCCACCACCGCTGCAGCCTGATCCTCCTGACCTTACTATAGTTTACACAGCTCTTTCATGTGATTTATGTCCTCCTAATCCCTAAAACTCTGTGAGGTAAGTCTATTGAGCTCATCAGGAGGCCAGGGTTGGGAATGACTTGACGAAGTCATGATATAGTAAAAGGCAAAGTTGAAATTCAAATACAGATGTGTTAACTCCGGGGTCAATGTTTTTCCTTAAACCTTGCTATCTTTCCAAGAACTGAGCACTCTACCTGGGAGTAGTTGGCAGATCCACTGGTATCTGACGGGATATGTTGGGCTGGCTGAATTGGGAGGAATTCACCTGTCTCTTCGTCTAGCTGTAATTGAGCGAAAAAGGCTTTCTCCTGCTCCTTCTTGAGTTGTTCTTGTCTTTCCTTTTCAAGTTTTTTCTGTTTTTCTAGCTCATGCTCCTTCCGTCGTTGACTGAAGTCAAATACTTCTCGACTCACCCCAAGATCTATATCTTGCCTCCAAAGTATGTCAATCAAATCCATTTCCTATGTTCAAGACAAAAAAGGAAGGACAGAGACCGTGGTTAAGATGGCTTTAAAGTAGCGGATACCACAAAATTCACCTTATGCCATTGTTGATGGTGGGTGGCAGGGCAATTACAAACAAAATTTGAATGGGAACATAGACCCAATGTTCTAGAAGGGCACAGTTAATTCCATTCAATAAATTGATTCACTTAAGAGACAATAAATAATCTACAAACACAGTCATCCATTCTAATCATTTCTTACTTGGATTATTAATGACTGGGTGATGCTAGAGATCATGAAAGAGCAAAGTTAACAAATGCTGCACCTTCACGTTCCTGAATTAAAAGAAATCTCAGAATGTAGAAATTAGAGCAAGCATTCTAGGCCACTAGAGTGCAAGGGAGACTACTAGATAGAATTGTTACACCGGGCAGCTGCAATCATGGACTGACTCATGCTTTTTAAACTATTAATATAAGCCTGCACTAAAATTATAAAATCTGATCACTGGCCAGTGGTTCCTAAATTGGACAGGGTATAAAAATCAATCCATTGTTTCAGATACTTTGCTTTGACATTTTGGTAGTGTGGAGTGGCCAGTTTACAGAGGCTGGATTGAGACATGTCACTGGGATCATTTTCCTGGCCGCAAGCAACAAAAGTAACGTAAGAAGCGTTCACGGCTGTTTTCTCAGGGAGCTCCCCATAAACATAAACCACTGAAATAACTTCCATTTTAAAATGATTTGCTTCCAATTTAATGAGCATGTTTACCCAAAGATAAAAGGTGAAAGTCAAAGGCCCAGGTAAAATTTCGGTGAGGTTGGGTCATATCTTAGTGAATCTAGATACAGCAGACCATCTTACCTAGATTTTACATCTAAATGCAAGCACTAAAATACATCATTTTACAATCTCAACTGAACTTCAGTCTGTATAAAATAGGCAGTACCTTCTCTACCAATCTCAAAAACTGATGCAGAATGTGCACTGAAGTATTCAGAAGATCAATAAAAGAGAAACCAAATTCTTATCCTACCGCCTGGAGATCACTCTGTACATACATCCCTCCCTCACTTTCCCAAGACGACCTAGGCCTGGGGCTTCTCCTTAAGAAATCCCAAGCCCTGGCCAGTGTGGTTCAGGTGGTTGAGCATCACCCTGTGCACTGAAGGGTTGCAGGTTTGATTCTATCGGGGAACATACCCAGGTTGCAGGTTCGATCCCCTATTGGGGAGGATATGAGAGAGAAGCAATTATTGTTTCTCACATAAATGTTAATCTCTGACTCACATTCTCTCTACAGAAAACCAATAAAAACATCCTCGGGTGAGGATTAAAAAATAAAAAGATCCCAGGATAATCAGTATCCAGTTTTGAAAATATATTTTTTAATTGATTTTAGAGAGAAGGGAGAGATAGAAACACCAATGATGACACAGAATCATTGATTGGCTGCCTCTTGCATGCCCTACACTGGGGATCAAGCCCACAATCCAGGCGTGTCCTTGAGTGGAATTGAACCCGGGACCTTCAGTCCGCAGGCTGACATTCTATCCACTGAGCCAAACCAGCTAGGGTTGTGTCCAGTTTTGCCCTTCCATAAAAGAAATGAAAGAGCACTGAAGCAATTTATGTTGGAAGCAACTCACAAATCTGACTATTCCAAAGTATCCCTAGAATGGCTGTAGGACAATTTCAAATGTAATTTACTTGAAAATTATTGGCGGCAATCACACCAAGAGTTTGAATAACTATTCTTTTTTCTTCCCACTGGATGAGATGTCTTGAGTGGGTTCAGATGGTTTAGCTATAAATTATATAACTATTCCATCCCACCCTGATCATACAGATATTGGATCAAATGAGACATGTGAAAGAACTAGGCTTTTGAAAACAGTTGTTCTGCTCAAATCTAGATTGCAACAACAATGGGTTTCTTGTCATAGCTTTAATATGCAATCCTGTGTTACTCAGATTTTTGCCCAAATTTCAGAAGAAAAACACCTGCAGGGATCTGATACTATGAAATACTCAAAGCTTTATGTTGGAAATGAGAACAGTTTGTCCACCCAAGGCTCAGTGCCAGGAAGCCCCAGAGCCTCAGGACTGTGTGTCCTACGCTCGCTTACCAGGCAGTGAGCGTTTCCTACAAGGAGCCCTGTGACTAGTCTAGGCACATGACTTCTTCCACAAGTGTCCCATCCTGGCAAAGCTGAGCGCCATCGAAGAGGAAACGGCCAGGGTGGAGCCCGTAACAAAGAACATTGGTCAGGGGAAAGGGAAATGCCTAAGGAAGAACTGAAACTCTGCTGCTGCACGTAAGTCCCAGGCACTGAGGAAGTACAGCTGTCTCTTCCCCTCCGAGCGCCATGCAAAATGGCAGATAAGGGTTTGGGGACGGAGGGAAAAGCAGGGGAATGGTTTGTACAGCACCCAACAGGTATTTCCTTAAGATGGAAGCTTTCCAAGGGCAAGACAGGCGCTGGCTGTGAACCTTCACATGCAACATGGAGCCAGTTCTGCAGCCACTTGGTGTCCGAGTTTTTGCTGCTGCTCTCTAGTGATACCTGACTGTGTTCCAAATTATGTTACTAGCTGGTCTTAGACAAAAGATGGTTTTATAGAAAACACAGGATGAAGGCATGAGCGGGGCTAAGGACACATATATAATACCTTAATAAAGAAAAAAAGCAAATGTTAGACAATTCACATGAAATCACCATCTGGCCAACAAATACTCATATTTAACACACATACAGTATATCATTTTCCATCTGGATAATCTGTTACATGTTTTATAGAAAATCTGAAGTTGGACAATTAACTTGAATCACTTTAAAACAAACATCTTTGTTCCAGGATAAACAAAGAAGAAAGGCTCTGAACACAGAATCCCATATTATACATGTTTTGCAAGCCAATTTTAGTGCCTTGAACAAACTGGCATTTAGCATGCTCAGAAAATCGTCCCAAAATAAAAAAAGATAAAGCAAAAGTGAAAATACCAGAAAATATATCACAACCTTCTAAATTAAAGCAATCCAGTAAACAGAGGCTTTGAAAGTATTTGAAATGAAATATAAGGGCTAAGACAATATGTTATTCCTTCTTAAAATCATGTATTTTCATTAAGAAAACATTTCTTAGAACATTTTTAAAAATTGATTTCAGAGAGGAAGGGAAAAGGGGAGAGAGAAACATCGATGGGAGAGAATCATTGATTAGCTGCCTTCTGCAGGCCCCACACTGGGGATAGAGCCTGCAACCCAGGCATGTGCCCCGACCAGGAATTGAACTGTGACCTCCTGGGTAAGAGGTCGATGCTCAAATACTGAGTCATGTTGGTCAGGCTAAATCTTGTTTATTCCTTTGAGATCTGGTCATCCAAATACTAATCACTACCATTCAGTCTAAGTTATACCTGGTAATGTTTTCCCCCACACATTTCAGTCTTTGTATTATGCCCAGGTTGTTAGATTATTTACTGAAAAGTTTTTCGTAGAAGCTACTCAAGTATTTTTGAACAAAACCAGATGGAACATGAATCATATCCTACCACATTAGGGTATAAACAAAAGAAAAGCTATAGCCTACAAAAACAACTGAGGGCATGCCTGAATTTTGCAGAATTGGTAAAACAACAAAAAAGTTCTCCTTGATTCCAAAGGCTGTTCTTTACGGTTACAATCTTTACTAAATAAAGTAAAATGACACCAAGCAAGTGTATTTTGCCTACAGCCAACTCGCTGATGACCATTATGCTTTATAAATATTTATCTCCTGTTTACTTCTCTTTGCTTCTCTCCCACTGCTTCATTACAAGTACACAGCACAATGCCGATCATTTTCTCTGAGAATTCCAGAGAGGGCAGGTGACAGCTTACTCTTTAGTTATCCAAGATTTAAGTATTTTTGGTTCTACTAGATGGATTTGCTAACTTTTGCACATATTGCTTCAATAATTGTGAACTAGGTGATTTAAAACAAAAATCATGGAGGGAGGTGGAGGAGGGTATAGGGGGAAGAAGTGGTGGTGGAAGGAGACTTGACTTGGGGTGGTGAACACACAGTATAGTGTACAGGTGATGTGTTATGGAATTGTACAGCTGAAACCTGTATAATTTTGTTAACCAGCATCATCCCAATAAATTAAAAAAAAACTAACAGCCGGGACTGGTTTGTCTCAATGGATGGAGCGTCGGCTTGGGGACTGAAGGGTCCCGGGTTCGATTCCGGTCAAGGGCATGTATCTTGGTTGCGGGCATATCCCCAGAGTGGGGTGTGCAAGAGGCAGCTGATCAGTGACTCTCTCTCATCGATGTTTCTATCTCCCTTCCTCTCTGTATAAAAATCAATAAAATATATTTTTTAAAAATAAAATAAAATATATTAAAAAAAAATAAAAAATAAAATAAAATAAAAAAACTAACATTGCCTGGCCAATGTGGTTCAGTGGTTAAACATTGACCCATGCATCAAGAGGTCACCAGTTCATTCCTGGTCAGGGAATATGCCTGTTGCAGGTTCCAGCCCCAGTAGGGGGCGTACAGGAAGCAGCTGCTTGATGTTTCTCTCTCATTGATGTTCCTATTTTTCTCTTCCTTCTCTCTCTAAAAATCAATAATAAAAACAAAATATAAAAATAAATAAAGAAATCTCCCTGGTTTCCCCCACACACATTTCCAATACAGAGTACAAATGTTGTTGATGGAAAGGCCTTCCAGCCATCTAAGTCAAATGTAAATGTCACCAGTTTTGTTTCTGTGTAATTACAGCTCCATTTATAAAAATAAATAAATAAATAAATAAATAAATAAATAAATAAATAAATAAATAACTGACCTAGCAACTAGCTATCTATGTCAACAGAGACTCCTAATGGTAGTAAAAGTTACCACTAATCCAAGTTTTCCTTCTAGAAAAACCTAAGGATTATTTCCCTAATCTTCAACAACTAGAGATTTTTAAAGCATAGAAATTCTCAAACACACACCAAGAAACGAATTGTTCAA